GACAGAGATAAGCAGCGTTTGTAGAGAGGTAATATTGCTGGACACAGTTGGGGAAAAAAAGCCAAACTGGATAAGCTTCCAAACAGAAACCCTTCACGTGTCCTTTACACGTGCAATTTAGGCCTTTGTGCATTTCAGTGGTTTGTAAAACCATATGCTGAATTTTCAGCACCTTCTTCCGCAGAGCATCTTTTGTTTACCAGGAATTCACAGCTGAAGATTTTCCCTAAGACAATACACACAACTATTACAGCGGGGTTCACTTACAGAGCACTTTCCTGACAGATGCTACATACTGCAGCTGATCACAACTGGACTTACAGTTTGCTTCCCATGAGGAGACATTTTTATATATAAATACCACTGCCCTTCAGATGGAATTTATCATTTCTTGTGATATTATACAACAATGTCACTATCCATACACTACTTTTGTTCTACTTGAGTAGAACAAGACTCAAGAATTGTGTGGTTGGTTACTCAGGCTGAACAGTGCCTGAACCCAAAGGATAAAGACAGTGAAACAATTCTTCAGTGGGCTGTAAACTGGGACAGGTATTTTTGTTTTGTACACAAAGTCCCATTTTGGAGTTCTTCTCTCAAAGCCAGCAGTAAAAGATCTCACTTTTTCATGCTAAAACCAAGTAAAGGGAGAAAGGTGATCCACAAAATTGGTGACCCTAAAATTAATTCTGCTTCACAGAAAATTACTATGAAGGCATGTATAAGAACCAAGCACATTCAACATCCACATCTTGCTATATTTAGTTCTAGTTATCAAGAAACATTGCCCAGAAAACAGACCAAGTAATTTTAAGGTTTTTATGTTTCACCACTAGGACTAAATGAGGTCTTATCTTTTGCATCATGAAAGCCTCTGGAAGCCTGAATCCTAGGCAGGACTCCAGTCACAGTAAGCTACAGCTCCTTCTCCAGAAAGTTTATATACACAGGTACCAGGGAAATGGCAGTTTCAATTCCAGAGTATCATTCATGGGGTTTTTTTCCACTATGCCATTTTGTATGACATACAGTTTTGCTTTTCTGTATATCATAAGAATTGATGCTTAATCAATTTTAGAGTATTTTTTAAAAATCGGCCAGAGGGGAAAAAAGTTTTGTCCTTGCTATAGGGGAAAACAAGTCTTCAACCAAAAGTTTGTAACTTTAAAAACATGTGGATAAATACAAGGTGTTGAGTTTAAAGAGGGGTAAAGAAGCATTTGGAAGAGATTGTGCAGAAAATCTGTAACTTGTGAAAACAACAAAAATGTTAAGAAGCTAAAAAGTGTCTCAGAAGCCATGAGAAGCCACCAACTAAAGAGGCAGCTCACACAATGAGGGCATACAGGGCTATGACAAAGACAGAAGATTCCACGTGGATAGTAAAAATCTTTAATGCGCACTTCCAGCTGATGATGTTACTGGATGACATAGAGCAGTAGTAGAACTAAGGCAACAAGCAGGATATTTTAATATTAAGGATACAGACCATCATACAGACAGCTGATCTACAGCTTTCCTTCTAACATGCAGCTTCTTCAAGCCCTGCCTCTCGTTTCTAATTCAGGAACCTCATGACAAATGGCAGTAAGATACAATGTTTGTCTCACCCAAAAAAGTTATGCACGAAAGCAAAACACTGCATATCCTGGGTGGCTGTGAAGTCATTTTAAAAAGCCCAGCACTTACTACAAGAACATTCAGGCAATCGTACTTTGTTAATGAATTATACATAGATAGGAGTTGCCTTTTTCTATCACAACGAAGCCCAGCCATTTTCTGATGGATGAGTGTAAAACTGAGCAGCTTCTGTATCTCAGTCCCAACATGGATATTTTCAAATTATGACCTTAATCAATACAAATGTGCTTTGCATATAAGTCCATATAAAATGAGAATATTTACTTACTTTGTTCAGAGATCAACAAATACAAATACTACAATACTGCATAGAAAAACAAACTTCCTATTCCTTATCCTGAAAGGTTAATGTTGCATCTTCCAGTCTAGCCCAGCCTTCACAAATTCTACCTGTCCCATCATAAAAGCTTTTCTTTTTCTTCTTTTTTTTTTTTTTTTTTTTTTTTAATTTTTTGTGGTAGGGTTTTTGGGAAAAAAAAAAAAAAAAAAATCAGTACCTTCAATAATATCTTAATAAAATTCTGGATTAAAATTGAACCACGCCTCTTTTTCAGAAAGTATTTATCTGGTTAAAATAACACCTAAATGAAAGTAAACACATGGAAGATTTAGAAAACACTGGCAAAATCTCTCAAATGATTTCACCTTCTCAAGAACCTTCAGGAAGCCATGAGGGAATCAACAGAGAGCTACTGTGGCAGATCTAAACTTCTTCAACACACAGGTTCACATAAATTCTGGTTTCACATGTAGTCTCATAATTTGTATAAAAACTTTTTTACTTATTATTATTACAACAGGTGCAGTAGACAAACATTAGCATTCTTTCTTTCCATTATTTACTTTAAATGGGGAATACCAAGTAGACAGTGACCTCAGAACATCTGTGTCACATTTTACTCTTCATGGTCTTCAGGCACTCCAAGACTCATGGAAGCATTAAATTCAGAATGTTAGAATATCCAAAGCAGTCCAAAGCAGCCCTGTGAAACCAAGAGATAATCATACAGTCCAGCTTGGAGCCATGAAATACTCAAACTGAACAAGCTGCTGTTACAAATTCTCTTGCTCCACACCACCCCTCTCCCAGTGATCTCGTGATTCAAAAGGAATAGAACCAGAAGTGAGAAAATAGTGAAAAAACAAAACCACAGTGACTTAAAAAATGAACAAAAGCCCAACCCAAAACAATCTGACTCATTATTGACTTCTGGGGTTTTTTAGGGATACTGAATCACATTTATTAGTGTTTTCACAGTAGCACCCATATTTTACCCCAAATGTAGAAATAAAATATCCTGCATGCCCATGCTGTTTAGTCCAAGCAAAGCTGGGCTACAGATCTCCATGTGCACATTTGCAATACAGAAGGATGGCATCATGAAATTCACCATAATGCACACAATTCATTTGGTCATTCCAGGGATTTGACATAATCCTGACATTAGGAAGAAAACAGCCAAGGATTCCAGTTTTTGACACAGAATGTGAACATAGCAGCTCATTTGTTAACTGCAGCAGATTTACCTGCTCACCTTTGGAAAGCAGCAAAGCAATGAACAGGACTGAAATGTCTGTACTGAGTGGACTCCTGGAGGCTGCACAAAGCTCAGAGCACAACAGTAGGAGTTTTACATCTTTCTGAAGGAGTTCTACACCCTTCTGTCAGCAGTTTATTTCTTCAAAATCCAGTGTGCTGAGGCCTCATCGGCAGTCATGCACCAGCAGGAAGCTGGAGCACAGCAGCCCAGGAATGCTTACATCTGGCCCTTGTCTGAACACACCTGTAAGCCTAGAGCGGGTTTCCACACTTTGCCTGGCTTGACAATACCTTTTGAAGAATAACTCAGAATTTTCAGACTGCAGGGTTTGCTTCAGCTAAAGGGCTGTAACAGTATCAACTCTCTTACTTAGTAACTAGTTACTGAGTAACAGTACCCACTCTTACTAACAAAACTAACCAGCAATTGAATTGACTTTCAATTTCACATCCATTTTCTTGCTGATGCAAGACAGCTTTTTCCACTGTTCCAGTTTGCTAACAAAGTGCTTTATTTACTTAATTTAAATTGCACCAAAAAGCTGTGTAAGGAAATTCATTTGATATTCTCAAACCAGCAACTTTCCCAGCAGTGGTTTATACACAGGAATGGAGGACTAAAACAAAGCACCTAACTCAGTGCATCCAGTTCCTCGTAGTCTTGTAATAAACACCTGGAGGAAAATAAAACAAACTTCATGTCATCAGCACACTAGACTAAACATTGCAGCATCTCCATTAAGTGCTGCTGTTCTGTCTTAATAAACAAACAAAAAATCCCTCCCAAAACCCAAAACCAAATACCACCACCCTCGCCCCAAAGAAAAACAACAACTACTGGATTCCAAAGGGAACAGGAAGAAAGTTTCATGTTTCATCAATGCCCAAATATTCTTTGGGAAACACAGTGGTAAAGCTCTGTAACCTCCAGTACCTCTCCTCTTCCATCTCATCATTTTATGGATGGTCATTAAGCAGAGACCAGTACTCATTATATAATCTTTTCTTATCCAGTAAGTGAAGAGGATGCATTTTACCCAAAGAAACCTTTAAATGGCAAACTGATTTCATAAAAGCCATCTATTGCCAGGCTGATTGGAGGGTTCTCCACTTCCTATATACTCTCCACAGCTGAAGGTTTTTGTGGGCATGCTATAAGTCCTGGTGCTCAAACTAGAAAATGCCAATACTGAAATTTTTCATGTACGCTTGCTGCAAGTGGTTACAGTTCACAGAAGACTCTGCAGACTGTCTGTAGCAGGAGTCAAAAACACAGGACAAAATGCAGTTCACTCCTCACAATTCAGCTGAACAAACCTCTGCAAAAACTTCTGCCAAAGAATTTCCCAATAATAACATCCTCATGCAGTACCAGGTAATGTAAAATTTCTATGTACAGACTGCACAGAATAAACTGAATCTAGAGAGAGGCAGCTGTGGCACATGAAAGAGAAAAACCTCTGGTCACACTAATGCCCAAGCTAACTTGAGAGGCCTTAAGAAGAGCCTTAGGATCTTGCACAGCTGTAAAGGAAAATATTCTGGAAATTAGCGATCAAGATTATTAAAATAGTTACAAATTTTTAATCCACATTTGAAATTGCAACTACTTCAAAGGCAGCCTTCAGAAACTACTTAAGAAGCTTAATTAATTATCTTACTACTGTAAGTCTTCTGACAAGTGTGGAGGAGAATATGTTTAGGAGACAGGAAGCAGAATTTAAAAGCCACTTGGTACTGAATGGAAGTTCCAGGCAGGAGGGTGGCTTGAATCAATCACTCCCCACTGTAAAAATGCTCAGTTCACATCACATGAAACTGAATCACACAGATATTCACACCTTTTTATTTTATATTCAGCAGCCCAGCACAGAGCCTCCTCTAGTCTTATATCAAGAACTGCCAATGCTTTAAGATGAGCCTTACACATTGTTGTGACATTGACTTGCTGACAACCACAGAATCCTTATGCTTTTCAGACTCTTCACTGTTACCCTAGGGAACTACAATTGTTTCCACACACAGTTTTCAAAATGCAGAGAGGAAACACAAATAGCCAGTGACAGTTCCTGTAAGGCACAAACAGAGCCCAGCACCTCTCCACAGCACAGCATTTCTGAGTTTTTAATTACACAGCAGTGCTAAGTCACAGCCATCATGCGTAGGACATGTGCTGATGCTGGGGATGACAACACCATTTCATCCCATCTCAGTCAACAAAAAAATCACTGTAGTTGTGCAATCTTATGACAAGCATATGCCTGGAATAATAGCACTCACTCTGCAGCCACCACTCAGTTCCTTTTAGAGGATTATAACTTGTTATTTATGGGCATTAATGTCATCTAGACACAGATTTTAAATCTCTCTCAGGAAGTGTTAAAAATGCTAAAAACGTTGCCGTGGTAGCAGACATATTATATTTAGTAAATGAACTCTGAAGAATTCTGTTGCATTAGTTAAGCATTCCACTATATTTATAATACTCAATTTTGTTTTTGAAGGAAACCATCAGCATCCAGAGTACAGGTAACAGCAGGAAAACAAAGAGCTCACACTCAGATGAGGATCCTTCAGGGAGTTCTGAGTGCTGGCACAGTCAGCCAAGGTGTTGTTATGAGCACTTCTTTTGAATGTGGAAAGCAGAGCATGTAACAGTATGAAGTTTCTTATTTGTTTTGTCTGAGCTCCAGAGTTACACATGCTAAAAGAACTTGTAAATTAAAAGATACACATTGTGTACAAATGAATAAAAATACAACTAACTCACACTTGTAAAATATCTGCTTTTGTTCCTTAAACAGTAACAATACAAGATATTTTGTTCAGAAGTATTTTATTTGGATTATACCAATTAGTATCACTGTTCAGTAGGCCAAATCCAGGCAGAGAGCACAGAATCAACTGCACAAGGCAACAACACGGACTAGTATTTTAGCATACAAACCATTTCACTGCATTATCAAGTTGAAATATCTTTCAACCATGCATAAAAATTCTATGCTTAAGTCTTTCAGAGCTCCAGGTAATACCAGATTCCTAAATATACAAAAAATACATTTAAATTATAATAATCTTAGTGAATCAGACTTATAAAATTACAATTTTATTCTTCACAACATAGAAAAAAATACAAAAATGACTGTATATAGTTTTCACCCAAGTTTCACTGACATATACATCAAAATATGTATATTTGATGTATACTCATGAAAATTTTAAGCTGTAAGATAAGTTGTAAAATGACACTGCAGATTGGTCCACACAAATGCCAACCTTCATAACGATAAGAAAAAAACCCTCTGATAAAAACATCATATTGTGAAAAATTACAATATTTCTGCACTGTAACCTGCATTCTTACTGTAATTTACAAATATGAACATTTCTACAATTCCAGTTGTAAACACACTGGTGAAAACCTTGGTCTTTTGGAGGGTAGTGACTAACTCAGAGCTGGCATGGTAGAACAAAAAGTGCTGTCAGCTGAACCAGTGCACACAAGAGAGCACCAAAGCAGGGGGGCTGCTGCTCTGGAGAGGCTGACAGAGAACATGCAAGCCAAGTAAACAGTCTGGGGGGAAATAAACCCATTTGTGACACAGCACCAATCAAAGCATCTATTATAGAGCTCACAGAAACCACATGGCAATTTCAGTGACAGATGAGGGGAAACTTCTTCTTTTATGAGGAGAAGATACCCCACAGTGTCAGCAAAATCAGTATTACGGAACAACCCAAACAGTTTTAGGGCATCACACTACAGTTCTCTCCCAAGATCAGCTTCCAGTGATTTCCATGGAAGTTAAACTTGAAAAAGCACTGCAACAAGAAGCACTGAATTTTTGTACATATTAACTGCACGTTCAGACTTCCGAATATAATTTATAAATCAGCTTTGCTGGTAAGAATTCTTACTGTGAAAGCAACCTCTTTTTCTTTTGAAAGGAAAAGTAACTCAATTTTCTTTTAAAAGGCCATAGTTTATTTGCATTTTTGTCATAAATGGATACTTTCACTTAAAGTAAATATTCCATCATAAAGCCTGTTCAGCAAAGGTGTTGGTTGTAGAAGTTTTCTCCCTACTGGCAGCTTCTCTGCTTTTCCATGCTGCCAGTGCTATCTGTTGTAGATCTGTACTGTATCTTTCTCATCAACAGAGCCAGGGGTTTGTCTCATGCAGGAGTATTACACAACCATTTTTTTATCTCCAAATTGGACCAACAAATTTGAAACCTAATCTTTTACTTGGGCACAGAAATCAAATTAAGAAAAGTTCAGGAGCTGAGCATTGACAATATCCAGTAACCTAAGTACATCAGGAAATCAAATCTTTTAGATGACATCCTTCAGAAATATTGACATTAACTTCTTTAATAGCAAGTATAAGCAAAAGGAGATGTTTTGTTCAGAGGTGGAAGTTCACACTTTCAAACAATGACTTCAGAATAATGTAACATTTCTCAGATCACTACAACAAAGTGTATAATCTAATATAGAAATTAATTGAATTGTTGCATCTTTGAATCCAAAACCATTTTGAGGTTGTATATGGCCATAGTAATAGAATCACAGAATTGTTTGGGTTGGAAAAGACCTCTGAGATTGAGTCCAACCATTTTCCTAACACTACAAAATCCCAGTAAACCACGTCCTTATGCACCACATCTTCAGGTATTTTAAATACCTTCAAGGATGGTGACTCTATCACTTCCCTGGGCAGCTTGTTCCAGTGCTTGGCAATCCTTTCCATGAAGAAATTTCCCTTAATACCCCATCTAGACCTTCCTTGGCACAAGAAGAGGCATATGCTCTAGCCCTAATGCTTGTAACTTGGGAGAAAAGACCAACACCCAACTTGCTACAACCTCCTGTGTTTGATAATCCAGTCAGTAACTGGCTCCAAAATGCTGAAAATAGAAGCAAAGATTATTATTGTCTCTTGTCCTTTCTCTGCTTATAATAATCCTGTTTGTGTTGAACAGGAAAGGCTCTATATAGTCAGATAGGAAAATTCAGTCCTTTTGATGGAGCCAAAGAAAATTACTGAAAAATGACAAGGTTTTGGTCTTTTTTAAATATCGCTCTGACAAGCATAAATCTGAATAACTGTAAATCCAACTCTTCCCAACTGCTAGAACAGAGAGCCTGTGTCCTCAGTACTTCCCAGCTGTGTTTAGAAGAGCTGGGATGTGTCAAACACAACCAGGCCAGGGGAGGTGCTGGCAGGCAGAGCATGAGGCAGCGCTGCAGGCAGCATGGAAAGCGGACACACCTCATCTATGCACTGAACCAAACCAGAGGGAAGCCAGGGAGGCCCACATGGTCTTGTCTAGTGGCTGTGACTGGATGCAGACAGGACTATTTGGCCATCAATTCCTAACAGAGCAAAGCCATAACCTACATTTGCTTTTGTCTCTGCCTGGATATCCATTCATTTCCCTTCTCCTTTTGTTCCCTTCATTCTCCACCCTGTTACTCCCCATCAGAAATTTCTTCTAGGCTTGGGGCACAGCTCACACAGCACTAGTGCTTTCTGCCTCACCACAAAGCTTTCTCAGCTCCTTCATTTTCCTTTCAGCCTCCCAAGGAAAGGTTAAGCCTGACAACCCAGAGAAAGCACCTAGGAGAATATAACTTCTTGTGGTCTTCCGCTCTTTCCAAAGAGCAGACGAGGGTGGCTTGTCCTACATGCAAAGGCAGCATGTAACACATGAAATAATTTGCTCTGGAAGGAGCAGATTATAACTTTCACTTCAGAAGTTGAGTGCCTGGAACTTCCTGCTTGGATGTGCCAGAGTGATGACCTCAGTCACTTGAGAAAAGTCAGGCTAAGGAACAGAGCCCCCAAACACAGCAGACCAAGTAGACCTCAGACTGAAAGATGAGTATCACAGACAATGACTAGAGATGAAAATTTATAGTAAAAAAGGGAGAACTGCACCTGTTTCTGGGTGAACTACCTCCTTATATTTAGATTCATTACTGATACCACTGAATTAATACAGTTAGTATTAATTTTTTTTAATATGTAAAAAAGTATTCAGTGATGCAGTACTTGGGGTAGTTTTAATGTTTCAGATAAGAATTACAGCCTCTGAATTAATATTAGCATTTGAGTGATCAGCTTATACAAGCTCTTCAGAGAGCACACTCTGGTCAGACACTGTACTGTTTAAATTCCTAAAGAACCACATTCCCCTCATTTTCCGTAATTGGTTTCTTGTTCTTGTTCCCATCACCTTTTAAATACACAACCTACCTTTCTAAAGTCAAATACTTTGCCCAGATTACATTCTCCACTGAAGTCTCTGACATTATCCTGAAGTATTCCAGAGCATACTGTTTGCTTTCACAGCAATACATACAGTTTCTGGCATGCAGTCAAGCACTTAAAAAAAGAGGTATCAGTAATATAATCCCAATTCAGGCATTTAGTGGGTACAACTTCATCACTCATACTGCAACCTTCAGGCATTTAGTAATAAATGAGAACCATTTAGCACATCATTTAAGGAAAAGGTTAACTGCCAAGCCATATAAAGTTTTAAGTTTTCTGAAGCACTGCAAGCTGAAAATTATTTCAATGTTTGACATCCTGGAATTTCACCGAAATCAGATTTATTAGTTATTCTTGCTAAATTATTGGTCTTTTACCTCTGACTTATCTTGGTATACTCTTTACAAATGTGCTGGGTATTGAAAAACTGCAGCATTTTGATGTTTGAAAAGTTCTGAAAAAGAGTTGGAATTACTCCGGCTTCTTATGCTCTTCAGAGTGGGAGAGCACCTTTCGCCTCTGATGCAGCATGTGGAAATAGAGCTGAGGGAAGACTGAGGAGAAAACAGACTCAAGTCAGTAAAGTGTGAAGAGAGGCCTGCAAGATGCACTGTCACATGGCCAAGGTCACCAAATCTCTATTAGAGGATCTGCTAATCCACTTTTTGCTTAAGTTATCTATTGCTTTTTACACTCTAAAGAGATGAACTGATATTGTTCTTAGGCTGCAGGTACTATTAATTTTTCTGCTAGAGCAATCACCTTTTTAATAAAATGCAAAATGCCTTATTTAACTCTAAATGTTGAAGCAGATGACAAATGTTGCCATAACTGCATGCACACAATACAAAGAAAACAGACTGCAGGGCAGAAAAAGTCCTTCAAGAGAAATTTCCAGATTGTTTGAATTTTTTGTAATTCTAGTGTCACTTTTTCAGACTCTAAGGCATTTCATACACATCAGTGCCTCTTTCATCTCTATCTATCCAGAGCTTTTTCTCTTTTTATTTTTAAAACTATGGTAAACAGGATGTTTGCAAAACAACAAAGGAGGGGGAGGAAAACATACATATACAAACAGCAAAAGCTGAAATTTCCATGAGAAACCTTTGTGAACCATGCAAAAATTAAACAAGGTCACCAGGAGGCTAGATTGGTTACTTCTATGTATGTTAATCCCACAGTTGTTTGCTTTTCCCAGTACAGCTGTTAATACTAAGAAAACTAACAAACTCATACTTACTTGGAATGTAAGAGATCATGACCAGGATCAGGAATGTATAGTAGTCAAATGAAAAATTGTACTTGTTAGGTAAACTAATGGAATACAAGCCAGACTGCCTGACGAAGGGTAGTGCAGCATATATTGTGAGTAATTCACCTGAGACTCCCATTGGATACAACACTATAAACAAAGTGTACCTAGAATGAAACACAGAAAGAATTAAGTTATGACAAACTCTGACTAAATATTTGTTAAATGATATTACAGATATTCAACATTTGAATTCCCCACTCAGTATTTATTTTTCTTAGATCTTATTTGATTAGAACATGGCAAGGTATGAACACTATTGCAAGGTAAGTATTCAAATCAGCAATCATTTGGAAATATTTTAAGATTTTATCTGAGAATCTACAAATTATCTTTAAAACTATTCTCCACACATGCACACTTTGTTTATTTGATTTCTGAACTCTTTGGTAGAAGTCATTTTACTACTTAAAACAGGGCCAAATATAGTTGATGTTAATCAATGAGCTTAAATATTATTTCAAGGACAACCAGTGGATTCAAGAATTACTGCTAAATGTCAGTTTATTTACTGTCATCCCCTACTGTTACATATCAGTTTCTGACAAACAATTATTTTGAAAATGAGTTCAGACAAATGACTACTTCAGCTTGCAACGCAATAGATTTTTGTAACCCGAAAATGTGCTGGAAAGAAGCTAGGCAGTCACGTTCACAAACAGGGCAATTACCTGAAGGCAGAATCTAATTTTTTTGCACTGCAACTACTTTACAAGATAAATATCCCTGTCAGATCAGTGCTTTAAGGCTGTAACTTTTATGATACTACCGACCTGGCCCATTTGATGAGATAAGGGAGATGGTTTAACAAGCTAAAGGTGTAAAAAGAATAACGGATTATCTCGGTGATTGTCCAGGCCACTACAAACAAGAGGACACTGTCTTCACTTTGTACCTGTGAGAACGGAAAAAAGGCTTTGTATGAGCTTGAGCATTCCCAGTCACTCACCAGACCCAAGAAAGCCTCACAGAAGTCAATTCCTGTGGGTTACCTTACTGCATCATTTTAGAGAACAGACTCCAAGAATGAGCTTAAAAGCAACATTAGTAACAACAGTAAAAAACCCTTCTTATCGTGCTCTGTATTTTTCTAGTTGCTTAAGAATGGCTCTGCTTCATGATCAGGTAACTTCAGCTCTCATATTCTGTGCAAGGTAAATTGGTACAAGAAACCCCTGAAATGCTGAGCATAATTCTTAACTCTTCCACTCCTATAGAGTACCAGCTTCTATTTCAGCCCTATGACTGTCTCCTATGCAGAAAGAAAGGCCTAACACTTGATACTTGGTTTACACTTAATATTCCGATACCAGCTCATGGTTCTTCTGAGCAGAAGCACTGTTTTCCTTTTTCTGGTCAGAAACTGGGTCCTACTTTTGAGCAGCAGCAAAACAGCTGACATCAGGTTGGGAGGAGAGAAGAACCAAGCTCAGATTGTCTCACCTCAGGTAAGCCTGGCAGGTGCCTGATTGACTGTTCCTTGCTCCATTTTCTGCTTATTGCAAGTAGCATAGTTCCTCTGATGTTACACTCAAGGCAGTATCATGTTTCACTGCTTTACAACTCTTGGAGCTTTTATGTCACTCACACATCAGTGAAGCAGCTGTAGCTCCCTCCACATTTTAACCCTGAGATCAGCTCAGCTGGTCTGAGCATGGTGCTAATAATGCCAAGCTTGTGGGCTTGATCCCTGGATGGGATAATTTAGGAGCTGGACTCAGTGATCCTTGTGGGTCCCTTTAAGCTCAAAATATTCTCTAATGAACTGCCTTTATCTGTGACATTTATAAGGTCAATCCTCAAAAGCATGTACTTTAAAATGAAGAGTTATATTTATTAGATTATGGAGCATCATTATGATATTCAAGTTCCTGAAGGATCTCAAGTATATGTGAGGACACAAACTCTTGAGGGATCAGACATGATTTTAATTCAGCCTTCTCCCTCTCTCCCCTCTTCAACAGAATTCCCAGCTGTATGAGCACCTTGAGCCCAAATTCAGTGGACAGCGGGAACGAAAAGAGCTCAACCACAGGGGCCCACATTTTCTCTTGTTTCTCTTTCCTCCAACTCTTGAAAAAAGGGAAAAGGAAGTCAGGAGATGTGGGTGGTGCACTCTATTCATCTTGGGCAAAGCACAAGCCAACAGAAAAAAAAAGGATCAAGAATGTATATACATATATGGACAATCCGAAACTTCTTAATAGGAGGAGACTGATCATATACTTTTGGGTAAAAAAGGGGAATTTTCTTCCAAGGGAATTACCCAGTAAAAGCTTTGTTACAGACTGCAAAACCCAGAAAAATTTATACAGAAATCTTGAGCAATCCTGGAATGCAGAGCTGCTGGTAATCTGTATAGTGCTGTAAATCTATGTTCTGCAGCGTGTAACATTTCAGGTCACTTTCACTGCATTTTGCAGCAAAAGCAAAACCTTATTCATTTCCCACATTCGATAATTTGTTTATATGTTAATCTCCCTTACATCACCATAAAAGAGCAAAATCCAAAAATTATTTGAAGATTTTCAGAGAAGAGACCAAATCCATATTGCTGCAGGATCCTAATCCTGTTTGAGGTCTGCTTTACAAGCAAGACTTAGTTCTCAACAGGGAAAAGTGAACAGCACTTCCCAGATGCTGCTGCTCCAAAGGAGGAACATGCTTGACAAGCACTCCAGAGCTGCATCTTCTGGCCAAATCGGGAGTAGCAGCTTAGTGATGAGTTCACCTAAACCTGTGAGTCTCAGCTTCAACCTGTGCTTTAAATCCCACTTCTTTCCCTAGCTATAGAAATGGGAAAAGTCAAAACCCAAAAGTTTGCAGCTTGAAGTAGGATCCAAGGATATGAGCAAGGACAAGAAACTGGGACACCAACAGTGAATCATACACATGGAAGTAGAAAATTCCAGTCCAGTTCTAACACTGCCTCCAAGGTTTGGTCTCCCCCTTCTCCTTTGTATTATAACTTATTAAAACAGTTCACACCATTATGAAACACACAACCCTCTGAGGTCACTTTAAGAATCATTGATTGTGCCTTCACAGCTTGTGTCCCTCTCTAAGGAAAAACAATTTTTCAGGAGTCTTACTCTTTCAGCCACTGCTAATGCTGCATTTGCATCATTCCTCCTTGAGGCTGAAAACAGGGCAAATACACAGCAGGCCTTCAATGAGCCACTGAGGCCAATGCTCCCTGAGAATTCAATTCTTCTTCCACTACCTTCCTCATGCCAGTCTTTCAAGGAAGTCAGACACAACTCAACTTTATCTACACCTTATTTATCCAACTCTTAATACGGGTCAATCAAACAACAGGCATAATTTTTTGGCATGTGCTTCAAGCCAACATATCATCAAGGAGGGTCCTGAATATATTTCAGCTTTTCTTAAACACCATAAATATGAGACAATGTTTGCTATAACATAAAAGAAACCACTGTCTTTTAAGATGCAAAGATGAGAACTGGGAGTTGACAAAATAAAGCCTGAGAGGTTTTTAATGTTCTCCTTAAGATTGGAAAGGGAAATTTCTCTACATTAAGAGTAACAGTTTGACAAATTTGCAGAAAATTTCAGCTAAACACATAATTAAGCAATCCAATGCAGAAGAGCAAAACCAGCAGCAATATGCAAGTGTAATGATGGAAAATATTGGAACAGCATGTCTCTCTCTAAAGAGCTGGTTCTCTGGTGCAGTAATTAAAAAATAAAACATAAAATTCAGGGGGAAAAAAGGAAACTTCATAGTAGGCACAAAGGGCCTGACAGACTATTGTGTTGTATGGTATTACTCTAATTTTACATAAATGTAAAGTAATGATGAGTCAGGTTTTTCAACTGTACTCAGCCATTCAGACTTCTGACCCTTCCATCATGGACTTTTTACTACATCTTAATGCTAAATATCATAAGATGTTCTTCCCTCTTTTAAGTAAGTATGTTTTACTACTGATTGAAGATATCAATTCCCCACTGCAGATACTAGAGTCCCAATTACCAACTCTACATGCTTTAGATGTTGTTTTCACAGCATATCTTGCCTGTGTGTTCTACAAAAGATCCTCTAAATATATATTACACTTATTTGCAACTCATCTGTAACTGAGCCCAATGGGATAAGCAATAAATGCCTGCTGACACAATTAAATTAATTACCCATCAGAACTGGGTGCAGAGTTATCTATCACAATGGAACTCCACGAAGGACTGCCATGATGTCACCAGATGATCTCATTGCTCACACAAATTCTAAAAGACATCTTTTGAGCTGAAGGGCACTTCCTGTTCTCCTGTGCCTACATTCTCCCAGCCCTTCACACCAGCTGCTCGTTCTCTGCTCCTTTGCAGGGAAACAAAAAAATTCACTGAACTGGTTCCTTTCTGACACAATGGCCAGCACTGATGACATGCCAGGCCCTCCTCCACAACACCAGCAACTGCTCCTACAGTGCAGGTGAGGAGAATCTCTGTGTGCAGTGCTTTAACATTTGCCATGCTTTAACATTTATTGTGAATAATTTCATATTGAGTTTAACAACACATCAGCACTGAAGTCCACAAAAAGCACAAACATGTTAGTGGCAAGAAGCATGCTTCAAATCACATCACATTTCTAGAAGTGTATCCTGACAGAAGGAGGGATGCAATACACATTTCTTCTTTTAGCTATATTATATATGAAAACAGTCTGGAAAAGCAAGATACTGAACACGTCTCATTCAAAAAGTTAAAGAGGAAAACTGCATTTTATTTTACAAGAACCTCATCATGCAACTGCATCGCTTACAAGTTCCATAAAGCTGTGTGAGAATTTAATCCTGGCCTTCACCATGGAGCTCACTTGTGCAGACAGCCCTTTAGAGAAAGTAGAACACTTGTGACACTTGCAATACATCTCCCCAGGTGAGCCTGCAGGTTCCCTGGTTGGGGCAAGGGGAGGGGTCAGCATACAGCCTCTTATTTGATTTATTTGCTCTAAGTCACAGGTCAGAAACTCATCACAGGGTTCCTCATCCAAGCCATTCTTATACCCACTTTCTAAGACATTAAAAAGGTGACACATAACAGAGTCTCTTGCAAGACTTTAACCAGAGACCACACAAGTGTGGGGGGAAAAAAATCTGCCTGGAATATTGCTGAAAGAATCCTTGTTAAAAGTCAAATATTTGGCTAATATCATTGTTCCCATTTTGCCAGTTTTCTCTGGTGAGAATGTGGGCACAAGCTTCAAAAAAACCTAACCCACAATCACATTACAGGTTTTTCTTTGATGTCTAACAGGCAACACATGGAATAATTCTAAGCACCACATATCCCAACACCATATAGATAACAAGCAAAACTTCAAGAGTACTTATTTTAAAGTATTTTATACATATATATAAAAGCTAATGTCTTGAGATTATGGTTTTGTTTTGTTTTCTTTTTTTTTTTTTGTTCAAAACCTAGTATTTATTTCTGGTGAATTAAGAGACCAGAGTACATTAATTTGCACCAACAGGGAAGTCCATTAGAAAACAGGTTTTCTGTTTATTGAGAAAAATAACATTCCTCCACTTCAAGTAGCATGAAACTAAGGCTTCACATGAACAAGCATCACAGTACCAGAAAGGACTGATAATTGCTAGGAACTACAGTGACTTATGTTACTCTACATGTGCATGGATGCTCTGATAGCAGGTTTGGAGGAAGGAAGAGAAAGCAGCTTCCCTCAAGACTTTGTAATAAGACAAGTTCCTTAAGACATTCTCCATTCAAGTCACAAATAATCTTATGTATAACATGACTGTCACTTATTTCAGGCACCCATGCTGACACTGGTATCAAGAATAATTTGTTTCTTTAATGAGAAGAAAACCAGTAAGATCAGTTGGCTAAAATTAACAACAGAGATGCAGCATATTTGGGCTACTAAAAGGATTCAGATGACACGAGTCAGTCACCATAACCTGTAGCAATTAAAGCATGTCCAGATTTTAAAACAGCTGTCAGGAATAAGCTTCAAAAAACATGGCTTCTAAAAGAATCTAAAGAGATCTGCATGAAGTACAGCACTATCTGGTGTGGTGAGCAGTGAGAAAAAACACTCAGCCCCCAAAATTTACCTACATTTGAGTATAAGAAAATTGAATGAAGGACAGAGGAAAGATTATCTTGAGGAGTGACAATGGAGAGCACGGAGGCAGTGCTGTGCACAAACAACTGAGGGGGAGTTTCAGATGCCTCAGGAAGTGAACTGCATATGCAGGAGGGCAATGAGATTTTGCTTTTCATTATGGCACTAGAAGGCTGTACCAAATCCAGGGTTCTGTATTACACACTGGAAGCTATTTAACTGTCAGTAAGGACTGCAGAATCTGTCCAGGAGCTAGATGTCTTACAGGGACAGAATCAGACCTCGCTCTGTTTGACTGTCAACAAAAGATGACATCAGATCTATTTTTAATTCTTTTGATCCACAGAAATTCATATGAACAATTTCCCATGGTGGGATACAAACAGAAGACATTTTAAGGACAATAAGACAGCAATCAACACTTGCTTTTCTATCAATTTGTAGCTTGACTTACCTCTTTTACACTATGTGTTACTGCCCACGTCAGGAAAACCCTTGACATCACTTGGAAAGCAGTCAGAACAACAGAAGAGGGAACAATGCCTGGAAGATATTTTGCAATTAGTAAATATTCCTGATTAACAAGGTAGGGTTGGGGAGATATAACACAGCTAAACCAAAGTCCAGTTATTTGAAATTTCTGGAAGGAAAGCATTTAATTTTGTTTTTAATTTGAAAATCTGAAGTTAGTCCTTCAGTGTATTTATACAGCATAATGCAGTGCAATCCCCTGACAAGGCTTTCTGCATCAAAATGCAAACAAATGTAATTGATCTTGTTGCAATCACAGCACATTCCTCAATACACAGAACAGCTCAATCAGATAATTTCAATCAAACAACTTCTGGGATACAGTCTTTCAAATAATCCTGTTTGATTAAAATATCTAAGATACTCCAAGATACTTCATTACTTCATTACTGTGATTTAAAAAGTAAAGATAATATGTTTTGCACTGTATATTCAAAAAAAAAAAAAAAAAACAAAAAACCCCAGACATTAAAAATGGTAAGTATTTTTCAGAACCACTGATCTAGCCCATATTTTGATAGATGAAAAGTTTGTAGCTCCTTCCCGGAAATACAACTCAGAAAAAAACCAAACCAGCCAACCACCCAAACAAACAAATCCCAGGGAACAGCTGATGCACTGGAAGGTACAGAAGCAACTTGAAGATTTTCTCAAGGAAGCAGATATCACTGGCTTTTCCAGCAAGTTCTGAGGTGCCAACTCACCTGTAGTAAAAGGACCCTACACAGCCAGGTCTGTCAGAGCAGGAATAGTTTTAGACTGCAAGATTACACAAAACTTCTAAACTTTGCATCCCAAAGTTTTATTTTCTTCTAATAGCTAAATGATAAGTTGCTGGTGTAGCTCCTAAGATAGAGTAAAAAGTGCTTGTAAAGCTAATGCAAACCACAAGCAACACAACAGCCTCAGAAATATGCAAGGACCAAAGAGGAAAATGAAATAAGACGAGAGAGTAAGAAAAGTCAAAAGCAAGTTTCAGTTGAATTATTTTAATTTATATGTTTGGCTTCTTTGAGAGAGAAAAGGAAAATCCTACAGACATAATTCTCTTCAGTTTTATCACACTGTCTTGGTCTCTGGGCTACCTGTTACCTCCTTTCCAGGTACAGCTCTGCATTTTTTAAACCTTTGGTGTATGTCAAATCCTGTTCTCAGCCATGCTTCACAGAGACACTCCCCTATCAATCCTTGTATTTTGAAGGACTTGCCTCACAGATGCTAACATTCCAGATTCTATTGAAAAGATGTGGAGAGAAAAGTTATGCTGATACACAGAGCCATCTGTCCCACACAAGCTCTTCTATTGACAGAGAATTACAGCTCTAGTTAGAGCAATTAGTTCAGCAGGGGCAAAGGAATCTGCAAATTTCCTGTTTCTCCTTGCATAGAAACTTTTGCTACAGTCAGTAGGACTGCAGCAGACAGCAGCAGTGCATCCAGCTGTGCAAACCCCCCTCAATTTATTTAGCTGACAAACACTTCCATTAACAGAAAAAAAATACAATCCACAGCCACTTAAAAGAAAACAGTCTTTTGCAAAAGAGTTTTGTTAGGGAAAGCAAAAAGAATAAAACCAGCATAAAATGTTGCCACTTTCCCCTAATGGCTCTATCTAATATTAAATTGTGCTACTAAGGATAACATGGGCTAAATGGATCCACACCTCAAATCAACTTGATTGAGAAATCAGCAAAGCATTATGGATTTAAGATGGTGAAACCAGCATTTTATCTGCAAGGTTTTCTCTCCAGTAGTCCAAGATCTAACTTCTCCTTCTTGACACTTGTTAAATAAGACCTTAAAATGGCACGTTTTAATATTAATTGTTGACAAGTTTTTTTTTAAATGTATGGTTTTATTCTGGTAAAAAACGTAAAAACAGTAATTGTGATTTAGTAAAATTAAACAGCATTGGAAGGATTGCCTTTGCAGCACAGGCAAACAGATGATACACTCAGTTTACTCTGAGTAGCCTTTACATGAATTTGAGGGGTATATGATCGTTCATTTCTTGGGGTGATCTGTGCACAGTTTATGAACTGCCTTCTTAAGACATTTTCAGAGCAGCTGGATGATTCAGAAGGGCCAGCACTACTTAATGTGAGACAGAACCAGACTGCCCTCTGCTGACACACTCCTAGCACCAGTTCTCCCAACACCTCACTTGGTTATTAGAACATCCCCAAAACTCACTATGAACCTACAACCCAATAACCTCTCCATTATGTGGCTGTCCGGACAATGATGAAAAACACAAGTCTGTAGCTGCAGCTTTAGGAACCTCAGCACCATCTTAGTCTTTAAGTAGTGGCTAGTGAACATTCAGATAGGAGCTGGAGCACTGTTCTATTGTTTTGTGACTTCTCAAATTAGGGAGTAAAAAAATGCAATGTATTTCAAACAAAAATTACTAAGTTATGCAAAAATTAAATTCAGCAATTCACAGACTGTAACATTTTTCTTGCAAATACATTGGTAAAAGTTCAGTCTTCTATAAAGTAGTAAACAGAAAATTTGCAAGCTTACCAAGTGCACAGTGCAGAATCTAGAACAAAAAGAAAAATTCAAATCACTAACACTTCAAATTAAGCAATTCAGACACACATTTAGCTCTGTTACAAGTGCTTAAGATTCAGGATTTGCATTTTAATGATTAAGATTAATATTTAGCTCTGCTGCCCAAGCTAAATAACAGACAGTAAAACTCCCTCTTACTAAAAGGAAAACTCAGCTTTTGTGTGAGGTATTCAGTAGAATTACAGTAAATATAAGAAATACAACACATTGATGCAAGTATTAGAGTAAGGCCAGGGAATAGGACTACACCCACCTCAAGCAAAGCTCCAGTTTGGAAGAATTTCAGGGGCTTTTCTATTGAATAGTAAAGGCTGTGGTAGCTGCCTTTAGCCAGATATGCCCTAACTAGACCAACTGCAATAACGAGCCACCTGAAAGAGAGAAAAAAGGAGACATTAAGCAAAGTGTAAGTAAAAAGAAATCTTTAATCCCTCTTTCAATACTTGAGAAAGCACCAGGCAGGACTGTCCTGAAATACACTAACTCTGCAACACTAGAAATTGCACCTTCAAATCTTTCCAAGTGAAAGATGATGCATTTTAAAAGCATTTTTCAGCACCAACGTGGTACCAATGTCTCTAATGTCCCATTTATTTTCCAGTGAGCTCTATTTATTAGTTATGGAATGTATTCATGGCAGACTGGCATCACATTTTGTTTAGTTTAAGCAGAAAAACAGCTAGTCAGAGACCTATTACCAATTTACAGCAGTATGACATAAACAAGATTCAGAAGGCATTTGATTTTAACGTTTCAGTTCAAAGTAATCCCCTAGACATTATGAGAGGTCATCCAGCTTAGTTGGGAGCATGTATTACATGAGAAATAGTTATAGATACATAACTCCAAGAAAACTGAGCCTGCTAAAGCCTTGAAGGCAGCATGGCCATTCCCATCCCAGTTTTCCTTTTTAACCAACAAATATATCTAAGCCTATGTAAGTAGTGCCAGTGTAACTGCAACTGTATGTGACCTGTTAACCCTGATGATTTTCCCTTCAGGTAACTTAAACCTAAAAATTTTTCATACTGGCTGATGAAGCTTTCACTAACTACCACAGCTACCCAGAGCTGATGCTTGCCCACAACATAAGAAATTCTTCAGTCAAGTCTCTGCCAAGCCACAAATCCAAGGTGAGTGGTCAACCCTGGTCAAATACGGATTTTCACTTGAAAATAGCATCTATAATGAACTTTAAAATCAACTTTCCAATTGCTTTGGGCAAACACGGGGAGAAGGGGCTGGTTGGTCAAGAAGAATCCTTAACAGGGGCTCCCAAACTTTTCCCTGACAGGCTCATCCAGGCTGTGTTACACTCAACTACTCTGAATGCCACCCAATTTTACCTCCATCTCCCTCCAAACCCCTTGTGTAAATCACCAAGTGTCTCTGCTAACAGCTCACCTCAATGTGTAGACACATAGCAAGCCCAATGACTACGCAATAGTTTTCACCCTTTGGAAAAAGGTGTGTAGCTGTGGTTTTGTAACAGGGATGATGAAGAAATTCCCTTTATTTGCAGCATATTAGAATCTCACAAGTACCATATTAGCTTGGATATTGCAAAGTATGTGCACATATTATCCCAAGTGTAATAACTGTTTGAAACACACAGTGAAGTTCAGATTTTTCAACAATAAATAACTCTGGCATCCAAGTTTGCGTTTGTAACAACATCTGTTAGCAGAATTGAAAGAAAGCTAATTAATTTCTGCCTTAAATTCTGGAAGACATGCACCAAAGAAAAGCAGGGGGAGTGGGGAAGATAAACGGGAAAGAGAAACAAGCTCTCCCTTTTTACAGAGTGACAAGTAATTTCAGTTAAAGCCATCTTGTGAAACCAAAGGACAAACATTTGCCAAGTAATTGCTGTTTACAAGGAATAAATCAGATTCATTTTGTATTTGGACTTCAGTGCAGAATAAACCAGTAAGGACTACAGTATGAGTGAGTCTCCCCTGTAACACCAACTGCTTCTTTAGAACAGGAAATCAGAGCAGGTTGACACTGTGCTCTTCTTATCTATCAAGTTTCTCTGGTTTTCTAGATCTTCCACGTTTGTTGAGAAAGTGCTGAATTGAGCAATTTCTCCAGTTGCACAAGATGCCAGTTCTTGGCTGTGCCTGCAAACCATCCTCACCTGAACAGAGACTGGTAAATCCCACAGCTCCCAGAGCAGCTCCAGCCTTTTGCTCTGCTCCACCCTCCTGCCAGATCACTGACTCCAGCAAGACTGTACTTTTTCCATTCCATTTACTTTATGGAAGGATATTCCATATCCTTCAAAAAGCATTTGATACAGACCAGAGCATGAATCCATACGAAATTAAAAGCTGAGTCTAGTTTGTGCTGAAGCTTTTAGTACCTCTGTCCTGCTTCTGTGATTCTTAAATAGTTCTTCACCCTCTAGGACTAGACAAACTGGAACAGGAGAAGGTGAAATCAAGGAATATCAGCTGAAAATGGAACTTGGCAAGAAGTTTAGAAGGGCAGCAAAAGGCATCACTGCAAAAAATGGATACTGCACACACAGAGTTTTTTAACTTTAATTTGGTCAGACTTGATAGACAAGCTCTGAGCTCAGGTCCTTAGGTTAACTCCCTTGGCTCTCCCACAGGTCATAGAAAGGCATTTTCTTATGCAAAGTTTACTGAGGTTCTGTAGCATTTATGCAAGAGAACACAGCAGAGCTGTGCAGTGAGTGCACCTGAAAGGGAGAAGTGTACTTTGACTCTCAACAGCCACTCACCAAAGACATGGACAATGAAACTCATAACCCGGAACACTCTTTGCTCAACACTGATTAATACAAACCCTTACAAATTCAAAAGCTATTACATTACCATCGACCTTGCTGAGTGAAATCCTTTTTAAATTCATTGTTTATACCACCACCAGCTACTTATATCCAGAAGTACTAGTCAGTTACAGCACTTGACTAAAAATAAGAAACATAATCACCTTTTAAAGCAGCTTATCTAACATTTACACTCAGCTCTAACAGCATGCACCGTCTCCCCACCCAGCACTATTCAGTGATTTTGGTCAAGCACAGTTTTTAGGAAAAATAATTTCTATGCTGCATCTCTGCCTCCAGAAACCCCATGCCAGGTCAGGCATGACTACAAAGCTTCACACTGTGATGGGAGAAGAGTGTGCCTGAACACAAGAGAAACAAGATGCAGAGCTTTCTGCAGCTTAATGCTTTGAGCCATGGGCAGCAAAAACCCGAGCAAGTACAGCTGAGAACCAACTGCAGTACTGGTTATCCCCTCTTGTACCATGATTGTCCCATTTTAAAAAAAAAAAACACCCAAAAATGAACCCAATAGTAAGTGCATGTAGCTCCAGACGGAGATCCACAGGTACACAGGTGCTTTTTGTACTGTTCTGCTCTTGTTAAAACAATTGTATGTTTTTTATCTTGGAATCCATACACTACGTGCACTACAGCATAAACTAGAAATAAGATCTATTATTTTTGGAGTAAGTTGTGCTTTCTTTAGCTAAGCCAAGATAAATGCAAAGTAAATACAGTAGCTATGCCGACATTTTTCAACTGTCACTTGATCTATTTTAAACAAAGTTAATACTTAGGGCAACTAGTTTTAAAACATTAATTTAGTACTGCAAAATAATGTTGTTTGTGTGCTTCAGTTTACAAGCCTCTTGTAAATCAAACCAAACAAACCACTTCCAAAAAATCCCATGTGCTGTTAGAGCATCACTTCATCACCTGGGCACCTTGAATTTTTTGGTTTTTTTTTTCTTTTCAAAATTCTCTTTCCAAGGCAGTGCAGCTGGAAAAACTAAGTCTGAGCACTCTGACTGACATGGGGTCAGTAAATAATCAGTGCCACCAGCTGTGTATCAATCTTTCAATCTTTTCATCTGAACAACTGAGCTTCTGTCAATCAACTCCAGAAAAACCTTTTTTAAAGGCTTCAACAACTGAGCTTTTTTCCTAAGCTCAACCTTGTATATTGTGGAATTTCAGCAGTGTCCAGGGGAAGTGCAAACTCCTCATCCATTTGAAGAGGAATTATCAGTGAGAGCCCTTGGTGACCTACCCCGAAAGAAAAGTGAGCGACAACAAAGAGATATGACTATGATCACAGAACTCAAATTGCAGAACTCCCCAAACTGCAGAAACCATCTAATCACAACCATGTCCAGAAAAAAAAGCACCATAAATCACATCCCACCCAAAAGTGGAATTTTCTAAGAGATGTGGTGTAAATCAACAAAATGGGTAATCCTGTGATCAAGATTTATATGACAACAGAAAGCTAAATAGAGGTTTATGTTATTTATTTCTGAGCTTCCAGCAATAATTTTTTTTTAATTTGTTCTTCTGAAGAAATAGAAATTTCCCATGCTCAGGAGCTTGCCATGACAAAAAGTTCATGACCACAAAGATAACTTTCCATTTATACCACAGCTTCTCTCTCAGGTTTTTTATATCTTTTATAAACACAAGTGAATTGCATATGAGCAGCAAAATAAGCAGGGAAATGCTTTTATTCCTTAGAAGAGTTCAGAGGTGAACTTTTTAACATTGTGCAGGGACACCACAAAAAAACTGAAAAGCTCTCCTGACTGCCTGCAATGTGTTGTGTTACTCACGTAATTATTTCTGAAACAACAGATTACTTAAATCAAACTGGTGGGTAATTATCCTTGCCCTCGGAGTGAAATAGCCTGCAAATATCCTATGGAGCCATAAACCTGCTCAGTAACATTTCACAGTAACAGAGCTGTTGGGTAACGGGTGTACCAGCACCTCACAAGAACTGAGCTCTCCCAGCTCCCCTACCTCTGATCCTCACAAGTGTAAATATCTTGTAGGCTGAAATAGCATCAGGTGCCACCAGCAAAGACTTCATGTCTTTGATTCTTCATGCCCAACTGCCTTATTGAAGTGAATTATATCTATATTAATTCTACACTAACCTTCCCCCAAAGATGACACTACTGTGTTTGCTCATATCCTCAATCTTTCAAAAGTTGGTTTTATTTTTATCTGGATTCCAATGAGATGTGACAGCCACAACTAATTAAAAAAAAAAAAAAAAAAAGAAGAAAAAAGTCTCCTTTCTCTCTTGAGAGTCCCCAGTTGTAACTATTTTTAGTTTTGTACCTAAGAACACACCTGAGTAAGCACCAATTGGCCCCGGTCTGCATCACGCCATGCAGGGCAAGGGCAGAGCACCAAGCTGGTCCAGGAGCTCACACATCCCAAAAGCAGCTTCCAAGCTCAAATTACAGAGCAGCTGAAGGGTTTGTAGAGAAATCTTACAGGGCTCAAGATCTCTGCCTTTAACTGCTGCTGTGGGCAAATTCCCTGCACTTAGGGCCAGCTCTCT